AATTTAAATGGTCGAAGTCCGTCGTTACCAAATTATTGCTGAAATGTCGTGGTTGAGACCATGTCAAAATAATTTTACACCATTTTAGAATGAGAAACTTGATCTGCCGCATGTCTTGGATTTAATTTCAATGCTGAACTGAAGACAAATGAACTTTATTGCTCTCTGGAAGTGTGTAAACTTAGATGCCGCAGACCCTCACACATAACGCCGGAGGAGCTTTCGAATTTTGCCAAATTTTATCGAATGCGTGGTTTATTTTTAAGAAGTACCTCGAATTTTAGGACATTTTTCGCTAAAATCATCCCAACTGTATTTTGCATCACCTAATTTGCTCTCTTTTATTTTTTTATTTTTTTGCCTTTATACAGGGAACCTAACAATATTCTGCGTCGAAATTGTGTGAGTAAAGAAAAAAAAATCAAGTTTTTAGCAACTCGATCAATTTTTCTCGTTTGATCTAGGCCTTTTGACACGGAGGGAGGGAAGGAGGGCAATTGTCCCCCTGCTCTCATTGGCGGATCCAGCAAATTAGCAACATTGTTTTTCTCCATTTAAACCTATGGAATTGTATCGATTCTTGGAGGGGTCGGTGCCCCGACAAGAATCGATCATTTATCAAAGATTTAAATGAAGGGAATTCGGTGTTGCCAAATTGCTGGATCCGCCTCACATATGTTGCTACTGATTTTAACGATTGTTTTTCTTCCAATGAAAAGCCAAAAAAACGTCAGAAATCCCCCGAGGCGCGCCTCGTCGTGTTTCAAGTTTCGGAATTTCATCATCGACACTCGTTCGAACCTGACGCGTGCGCTAGACGAGCGCTCAATGACCCTTCATTCATGAATGAAACACACACTAGTATTATCCCGAGCTGTGATTTTTTTATACTCGGGTGCCACACGAAAAAGCAGCCCGACAATCACAGTGCTGGATCTCGATACCGGCCCCAAACCGTGAGTTTACGTAAGTTCACATCCATCCAGAGCCGCTTTGGCTTGTTAAACCTCGCGTGGCGCATTTCGTCATCGGGCACTGGGCATCTGGGGGGGGGGGGGGCATTGGGGGTATTATTTTACCCGATGAGGAGTAACTAGTCGAGGAGCACCTTGTTTGGCCGTTGCGTACATCATCTCAAAACTCATCGGTACCTACTGTCCAGTGCGAGCTTGCCATATCGCACCTCAGTGGAAGAAAAAATTCTTGGATATTATTTTGACTTAAAGGGTCGTTTCTTGACGACAAAATTTGGTGTTTTTGAGTTAAAGAAAAATTGTTTCGCTATCGTGTTTTCAACTTCAACTTAATGATGACAAAACGGCGCTTTTAAAACTAAAAAAAAACTGATGTTCAGTTGAATCCTCACGGATTTAAGTGGACAAAAACCAAATTTTGTCAAAAAGAAATGTCGCTTAAAGTCAAAATAATATCTTAAGAAAGGTTCTCAGAAGCTTAAGGTTTAAGGCTTTAAGAAGGGTTTTCAGTGCTCGTGCGACAGAAATCCTTCCTCTCAAAAAAGGAGTATCAATAGTGGCCACATTTGGGTGCTTTCTAGCTGAATTCCGTCAATTCTACGATTTTTTTCTCATCAAAGGTGTATGTTTTACGAAATGTGTCATGATTTGGTTATTCTCGGTTTCTTTTTAGGTCTAATACTGGTCAAAACCTGGGCTGAAGGCGACAAACCAGCAAAACTCGCGTATTTAGTCGCAATCGGCCTTCAGACCCAGGTTTTGGCCAGTATTAAACCCTAAAAGAAACCGAGAATGACCAAATCATGATACATGCCGTAAAATATACACCCTCAATGAGTGAAAAATCGTATAGTTGAGGAAATTCATTGTTAATTCAAAAAACGGCCTCTATTGATACCTCTCCTTTTCAACCTATCTGCCCTTGTAACATGTATTGCTAAATTTGGACCTTAAAAACTGTAAACACATGTTTAAAATGTATAGCTGAAAGAGAACCCTTTACATTCTGATTTAGGTATCAAACTAATGTAAAATTTATGGTAACAGAAAAATGATGAGAAGGAATCGGGATCAAAATTTAGATTAAAGTTGAAGCCGCCAGTAGAATATACAGAGAAATTGTGTTATTTACTAGCATTCAGGCAACTTCCATGACGCTCGTGAGTAACACAATTTTTATCAAAATTTTGTTAAAATTCAATGTCATGTACAAAAAATTGGTATTAATTCATCCGCCTTGGGATCAATTAATGATGACTGGCTGAAATGAAGTCATAACAGTGTAATCGACTAGCGAGAATATCATAACTGGTGAGATTTAGATCAACCATTTGATTCTCACATTTGAGACTTCAGTTCAATGATGAAGAATACTCAGAAAAACTTCCTCTCTCTCCCCCCCCCCTTTATTTATCTTTACATCGCTTCCCACATCACGGTGTTTTTCTTTTGTCTCTTTTCAAGTATACTATGCGGTTAAGATGCGCCTTCAAGACCCGCAGATATCGCGTTTAATTATCTGTCGCCAAAGTGAACTCATTCAATCCATTTTGTTGCCATGTAGTTGAGTTTTAGTTAGAGATAAAATAACTTAGAGATTAGAAATCTCAAACGTCTGCGACTGGTGACTGTTTAAGTTGGTACAAATCAACTGCTTTTAAAAAATATATTGTTATTCAATAAGAGGTCATGTATGTTTTCAAGAAGCCATAAAAAATATTGAGTGTTTAAAGTTATCTTCTATGAAGGTACTATCCTTTTTGTGAAATGTGGAGACTTTAATATTTTTTAAAGTTAACGTATTACTAAGCAAAACTATCCATAAAACAATCTGAAACGATCGATGGTTGGCACTTTCATTTTTGTATTTGGGGTTTGACGTTTGCCGTTTGACTTGAAATTTTTGAGGAGCATTCACATGGATTGCATTTAGCAAAAAGGAACCAGCGCGATTACAGTCGTATTTTCAAAATCTCGCAACTTCTTCTTTTCTTTTAAAAATACAAAATATACGTACAGTATTCAAATTTACACAAATATATTTCTTTAAAACTAACAATTTTTTGGCAAGAAGAAAAAACAATTTGCTTATCTGGGAGCTTTCTAGATACTAATGAGGAAGCAAAATTTTGACAACTCTGTACTCACGGTGGTTCCTTTTTGCTAAATGCGATCCACATCAGTACTAGGGTAAAATATGTCAAAAATTGGACATATTTTTTTTTTTAACCGAAGAGGTATGAAAATCGTTGTGATAACTCTTCTTTCTTCATAAACTTGATGTGCTCCATCCTGCATGCGTGGTCATAATAAACTTTAATTTGGCTCTATCGAAACAAAATGGCACCGGGATACGTACAAATTAATCCGTCGCGGAATTTGGGAGAGGTTTTTTTTATCTTTAAGCGCAGTTCCCCGTGATAAATGAGTGGCCAAGCGTGTCATGAAAGAGCAAGACCCGCGACAAGGTGGTGACGAAAAGAAACCATATCCAAGCGGCTGTGTCGTAAAATATTTGGTCCAGCATTTCATTTCGAATGACCGGTTCTTTCGGTAACATCGTGACCAAAAATTTCTGTCGTCTTCGTTTTGTATGGGCAGCCTAAGATTTTTGCCTCATCTCACGATGTTGCCGCTCACATTTAAACAAAAATCAACCGTAAATATTTATTTTGACCCGAGGCACAAAATTTCATCGAACGACACATCGTTACCCTCCGGCCAAAGTATCACAAGCGCCATTCGACATTTAAAAATGTCTGCCCTCGTTTTATTTTTTTACCGAGATATCGAGGGTTGAATCTGTTTGCAAATTTCACTATAACATTTTTTGTGCTGCCGATAAAAATTAGTGAAATTTTCGGACAGCGTCGTTGAACAAATTCTCTGTAAAAAATAAGAAGGCGGCGGAAATTTTTAAGCGTCGCATGGCACTGGAAAAAAAACACATTGGATCTAGAGTCCAGACTCTTAAAAACATCGACAAGAAAAAGTGCTCTTGATTCAATCAGAATCTAGCTTAAAGCAAGAACCAAGCCTCTTAATTTAAGCGGATTTCGTTTTGATTCAAGCAAAAATCCGATTGAACCAAGAGTATTTTTTCCTGTCAATGTTTTCAAGAGTCTGGACTCTAGATCCAATGTGTGTTTTTTTTTCCAGTGAACGCTTTTGTGACGCAGGTCTCGATTCTTTAGCAAGTAAAAACGAAATGGCGTAAGGCTTTCCTCGACCCCCCTCTCCTCTAGAGCGTAACGTAATTTACTGACGGCCCCTAAATTATTTCCATTTCCAGGTGTTTTTTCTATCCTTTCGTTTAAGTCTCCTTGATCAAAGCGTTTGAATGCAACTATTCCAGCTCTGCGGATGACCGTGTTGCATACACGAATTATTGTAGGCGCTCTGGCTTTTCTGATACTTACAGGCACGCGCTCAACCACAGACAGCTTTGTATATGAGAGCGAGAATTTTGAATGGAGGAAAACGTTAAGAATTATTCTTTAAACACGTGATTAACGTCGCAACGCCATAATGAACGCTTTTTGACCATTCAAAAGTCTCGCTCTTATATATGATGCCATTCGTGGCTTGGCGCGTGCCTCTGAGTGTAAGGAAAGCCTGCGCGTCTACATATTTCCGTGTATGCAACACGGTCATCCGCGGAGCTGGAATAGTTGCATTCAAACGCTTTGATCAAGGAGACCTAAACGAAAGGATAGAAAAAACACCTGGAAATGGAAATAATTTAGGGGCCGTCAGTAAATTACGTTAAACTCTAGAGAAGAAGGGGGATCCAATGTGTGTTTTGTTCCAGTGGGCGCTTGTGATACTTTGGGCGGAAAGTGACGACATGCACTCGTAAACCCTCGCTGCACATTAGATTTTTTTTTAGAATGACAGAGCATGAACAATTGCGAAGCTTTCACGGTGATAAAGAAATTTTATCGGGCAATTAAAGCCTCAATCTTTGCTACTTAAACCACCTTCGTGAAACCACTATACATGAAAAATCCAAATAAAATCACTTACATTTTTAAAAAGGTGTATTGGTAAAAAGGGAGACTACTCCGGAATTTTGATGCTGCAGCTCAGAATCCAGCTCTAATTGAAAGCATTTGGTATGCTGTTCCCTTGACAGATCTGAAATTAAGAAAATACAAATTTTAGATCAAAACGTCGAGTTTCAAAAGAAATATACAATCTAAAATCACCAAAACAATATCCTGTGAGCAGCGCAACTACCCAATCCATTTGGACAAGCTTAACATTCTGGATGAGGATTAAGAATGATGTGTCTTTGGAAGAGTGGAAAACCATGATCGATCGCAAAAATTCGCTTGATAACAGACTTTTGGGAAGATGAGGATGGATGAGGACGTTGATGGAAACAAAAGTGAAATTTCAGATGCGTGGCGGCAGAGACATAGCAGCGGCCAACGCTCCCCCCCCCCTCCCCATGACCACGGCGGTGGCAAGGTGCAAGGACGGTTTTCGCTTTCGTTACGAGAGAGCGAGTTTAATCGCCACCCGGTTGCCGCGTTGAGTCGCCGTGTTTACCCGTGTTTACGGTGCAAACAGAAAGGACTCCGGTATATGAAGTATGAAGCAGCTTCGAAATAACTGTCGTGCCGGCGGCGCGAGAAAAGAGGTCCATTTCTCGTTGCTCTTTAGGTTTAAGGACCATGTCGTTCTGTTGTGAGCATCTTATCGCAGCGCGACCTCTCGTAGGATCCTCGTGAACTCAGAGGATCCTTCCCCTGAGCTGAGACAAGAAACCCTCCACTGGCCTCTTGGCGACAGGTGGAAGCTTTACTTTGGGGGATTGAACATTTTCTTATGGACATTATAGGGGGGCAACAGTCATCACTCTTTTTTTTTTGCCTGTTGACCTACCTACTAGGTGAATGATGAGTTTCGGTCAACGTCATGAGCCGAACAAGTTTCCCAAACTTTGGTTAGTTTGCATAACAAAACTCTCAAAACGTAGCTAATCATTCACATAGTAGATAGGTCAACAATTGAATGCTGAAGTCCCGATAATAAAAGCTTCCGCCATTGCCAAGCCACCAGTGGAGGGTTTCTTGTCTCTACCCTCCAAGTCACGACTCATCCATTGCCTGCTCAAAAAAAGAGGTTAAGCCAATAATTAAAAAATAACCCGGAAGGTGGCTGAATTCTCATGATATAAGTACGTTTTCGTCGTTTTCAGAAACTTTTTGACAAGGGAGGGCCCTAATCTTCATGAGAGGGAGTGAAAACCCGATTTTTGGCAGTTATACACGATCCTACGGTTTTTTTGTGACGCCCAACAACTGATAATAGCAATTAGTTGCGAGGATTCCACGTGAGGTCGTAGCACTAGTAACCGCTCGAGTCCAGGGTCCTATGGAAATCGTTCCTGAGTGTGACTGTGGATGCTATCTTCGTGGAGGGTAATCTTGGAGACTTAAACGAAAGGATAAGAAAGTGACCGGTCCAATGTCTCGTAGCAATGCACTGAAAAAAAAAAAATTGCTAAAACACGGTGACAAATCACCAAATTAGTAAAATCAACCCGGTGTTCTTAATCTATTTTGATGAGTTGTCACCTTTTTTCACTATTTCATGTGTTGATTTTAGCAGTTTTTTTGTCAGTGTGATGGTTAAAATAGAGCCATGATATCATTTCATTGGTATCATTCAATTCTGCCTACAGCCTTACACTCTCCATTAAATATTTCACATGCGTCTCTTAAGTGTGTAACATCAACATATGCATTGTGCAAACAGCAAAAAGAAATGACTTCTGTACGAAGGAGCTTTGAAATAACTATGCTGTGTCAGTTGCGGTTGCACGAAAAAGAGGTCCACTTCTCGTTGACATTTAATTTTGAGGACAGTTTATTTTTTTTGATGTTTTGTCCTGTAATGGCGCTTTTGCCTTGGTGAAGGGATGTGTGTGCTATATTCGTGTAGGGCATTCTTCGGAGACTTGAACGAAAGGATAGAAAAGTGACCGGTCTAATACTTACTTGTACGATTGATATAGTTGATACCGAGCCATGATATCATTTCGAGGTGTCGTTCGATTCCGCCTCGGAAGCCCCCCTCTCCCTCCCTCATCTCCTCTGGTTTGTTTGATCTCTTAGTGTCCGAAAAGTCCGGTAGACCCCATTCAACATTATACCTAGTTCATCCTTTGAAACAAAACTTTACGGATGTTTGGATCATTGTAAGCTACTTTTGGGGCTCTCCTTAAGGAGGTTTGTGAGCACCTCAGATATCTTTACATGGCTTACCGCCGTTATAGGTTCAAGGAAACTAAAACATTTCCTCGGAATTTTCCACGTCCCAGAAAGCATGCCTCCGGCCCCCCCTGTTCGCCTTCTATTTTCGCGCACGAGTACTATTTTGTTTTACTTTGTTCCGAGGTTCAGCACTTAGTTGTGGTTCCAGTAAAATTGCCTCTAATATTTACATTTGCTTGATTTTCCTCGTTGAATAGCAATTTTGTGGGACGGAACCGAGATCCCTAAATTGGCCTAGGAGACGTCATTCTTCTCTGAATCCTTGAGGCGTACAAAAAGCAAACCTCCATACCTGAGCGGCCTGTGAAGAATCCTCCACCTCCAATTACCCGTCAGACGTGTTTCCCCAATCTAATCACAGTGTTTAATGATGCTCACGTATCTCTGTTGACTTAGCCACTTCGGTGGGAGCTCTGGTGATCGGGCTTGTCACATCGCACTTGACTATAGAGTCCATACTGATCCAAACTGATCCATACTGATTCATACTGATAAGAGGATTGCATTTTGCAAAAAGGAACCAAGAGCAGTCTAATATTGCTAGGATTGTGCAACTTACTTACATGCTCCGCAATAAAATTCCTGAAGTCATGCAAAAAATTAAATTTACAAAGGCAATTTTCATCTTAAATTGATAGTTTATTTGGAGTAAAGATAAAACTTGTCTAGATGAGTAGTTTATACTTGCAAGGTAAAAAAATTTGCACAATCTTAGCGACATTGGAATGCTCTCGGTTCCTTTTTGCAAAATGCAATCCATGTAATTTAAGTAAATTAACATGTCATACCACATAGGTTTTGCATCTGCGAGCTTTGTTTTCGCTGAATACACGATTTAGGGTATAAAATGTATTGGTTTGCGTTCTCGGGAGATCGCTAAAAGATTTTTAAGATGATTGAGCCTTGCCAGTATCCTAAGTTTTGAATGACGAAAGATTGTAGAAAATACTGTATGACAACAACTTAAGCTGAGTTCCGTCGCCCTCAACGAAGAAGCCGTAATTCCATTCAAAATTTTGCAATTTTCTACGCTCAATGTTTGATCATAGGTATAAAATGACGAGTCATTCTTTATTCCAGAAACTTATGACGAGTAAGTACTCTTTGGTTTTTTTAAAAAAAAATTAAAACATTTTGCAGAAAAAGTAGTATGGAATGTCCAAAGTGGAATTACAACGTTTTTGAAAAGGTGCCGTAACTCCATTCAAAATTTTGTATTTTTCTACGCTCAATGTTTGATCATAGGTATAAAATGACGAGTAATTCTTTATTCCATAAACTTATAACGGATAAGTAATCTTTGGTTTTTTTTTTATTAAAAAAAAAATAAAAAATAAAACATTTTGCAGCAAAAATAATTTAAAAAATCCAAAATGAAACTACAACGTTTTTTCTTTGGATGGCACATTTAGCGACAAATTTGCCGGGCTTCTCCCATTTTCCCTCGTTCCAATGTTATTGGTCCTTGGAAGCAACGCGATTTTATTTTTTCGCGCATCTTTTTCGAGTACAGAAGCCAAGCGGGTCGGAGGCATGACGTCACCGATGAATGATGCAGCAGGTGCCGAAATCCCAGACGCACATAAACACCGGCTAATGCGAGATTGTCAAATCCGCGCGGGGTTGCTCAACGGCCATATACCGTCGCTCCTTTGACAAAAGGGAGTATCCCGAATTCTGCATGAGCCCGAAAAAGCATGGTTTTATACGTGAAATAGGGCTCACGTGAAAATTGAGATACGCCCTTACGTCAGAGGGACGACGATACGTACGTTCAGATCAAACGTCGAGTACCTAATTAGTCCCGTTATCCGCGATTAAACAAATTACACCGGTCAATGTTGCATTGCGGTTAAAAATAGTATCACCAACGGATTTCAACACTCATCGCTTTTTATTGCCGGCCGAGTCTGTCTTCCTCACGCTAGTTGCGCGGCGGCAAAACGCTGTAAATTGGGCAGAACACTCGCGACCAGAAATGTGCAGTGTTTTTCGTGAAGTTCCCTTCATTTTTTTAAATTTACGATAAACTATGGATCTTCTCAGCAGGGTGTCGAAATTTCATGAAAAATAAAATCTTGAATTTCAGAAATTTATCAAAGATATGGAAGAGTTGAGGTTCCTTTCCATATTTCGCAAAATGTAAAACTTATGTGTCTTTCTTCTATTTTTGTGTGTTTCAGTGAGGGTTGCATACTGTAGCCCCTAAAAAATGTGAAATATTTCACACCCTCGTGTTTCATGAAATATTTCACTGAAATTTCCAGGCCTCCATTTCTTTCTTTTTTAGTTTCATGCCACCCCGTAGAAGAATAAGGATTCATGTAATTTCGAAACTTCAGACAGATATTTCGAGAAATAGCAAAAACTGCTCTTGACCGCCTTGTCTTTTAAGCCCCTTACAAAAATTTTCAATTAATGTCGGCAATGGACTAAATGAAAAATTTATTGTGGCCAAGAAAAATAATAAATGAGTGCATTTCTGAGGACAGATGAAATTTGAATGTTCGTGGATTTTTTTAAGCACGGTGAAGTTTCACTTTTCACCTTTGAAAAGGGGTCGGAGCCATACGTGGATTTTCGGTGAAATCCGGCAGCCTGGCCACAGTGATAAAGTCTTGGGCGAGTTGTTGCACTGAAATGTTCACAAGGTAATTGGTGGGTGACGTGAGAGCAAAACGCACACATCACCCCGAAAAATGACGAAACCCAGCCTCCTCGTCTTGTTTGCGTCACCCAACTTTGGTCAACCCAGCAGCAAGTTTTCACGTCCTGTACTCCCGTCCCAAGGAAACACATATTAAGTTCATGCGGATATTGTCAAATCCCTCCCTTCCTCTAAAAAATTTCCTT